AGTTGGAGAGGTCTCGTATAATGAAGTCAACGCTCCGTCCCCCTCGTGCTCTAATCCAGAATCCCGAGACTTTTCAGCTCGAGTTAGGAAACCGCTTTCAGTGCCTAGAAGATTGCAATGCAATGGACGATATGAATGACAAGCTCGTGGAAACTGTCCATGCGGTCGGAGCTAAGTTCTGCAAGACCTGCCGCAGAAGAACACAAAAACTCTCCGATCACACTCTTAATCTCATGGCTGTTAGACAGGAGATGAGGCTGCAATCGTCAACAGATTTGACAGCATACAGGCAACTGAACAGACAGATCTCCAAATGCATGCGGCAAGACTTACGCAACTTTAATACTGCTCGTATTAAAGAAGCGATCGAGCGGAACCAGGGCTCCAAAGTCTTTGCCAGGGATCTGTCTGCCAGAAAGAGCCAACTGTCAAAGCTGAAGACTGAGTGTGGCAGCATCGTTTCCGAGACACCTGAGATTTTGAGTGAGATTGAGAGGTTCTATGGCAGCTGTACACATCATCGTTGGAGTCACATGCAAGTGTGAGTAACGATCCAAGAGCAAGTCTTATTCGACACTATTCCGATTTTATCCCGGACGTCAGTCTGAGCGAGATTAGAATGGCTCTCCAGCACCTTAAAAACGGCAAGGCCCCAGGCGAGGATGGAATTACAGCGGAGCTTCTGAAAGCGGGTGGAACACCGGTACTTGAAGTGCTTCAGAAGCTCTTCAATTCCGTCCTCCATGGTGGCACTACTCCAGAGGCGTGGAGCAGAAGTGCGGTGGTCTAGTTCTTTAAGAAAGGCGACAACGCTCTCTTGAAGAACTACAGACCAATTTCCCTTCTGAGCCGTGTCTACGTGCTGTTTTTGAGAGTCATTACGAATCGTCTCGCACGCAGACTCGACGACTTCCACCCTCCCGAACAAGCCGGTTTCCGAAAAGGCTTCAGTACCATAGACCACATTCATACCCTGCGGCAGATTGTACAGAAGACCGAAGAGTACAATCTGCCACTTTGCCTGGCGTATGTGGACTATGAGAAAGCCTTTGATTCCGTCGAAATTTGGGCGGTGCTACAGTCCCTTCAGCGGTGCCAAGTTGACTGTCGGTATATCGAAGTGCTGAAGTGTTTGTACAGTACGGCTACGATGGCTATCCGAGTACAGAACCAGAGTTCAAAACCTATCCAACTGCAGAGAGGTGTAAGACAGGGTGACGTTATATCCCCCCCGAACGGGTTCCCCCCTTGTCGTGGCGGGGGGGCTTAGAAGCCGTGGCTTGGTCACTCACGGCGAAACAAAGAGGAATCCATATGGCTGGTCCGAGGTGGAGGGCCGGCCCGAGGTGGCCACTCCGAGTGGGCTTGGGAAGCCCACTTTGGATGTGTGTTGGTGGACTGCGGTGAGAGGTGTGTCCTCCCCACCTACCGCTGCAGCCGAGGTGGAGTCGCGGAGGAAGAGAGGTGTTGGTATGGCGATGCGCCACTCGCCCTATCCTCCGCGACTCAAACGAGGCCGCACCGTTGATGCGGTGGTGATGGGGCTGCGGGGGGAGAGGATTGTCGGTATTGCGAGGCGCCGCTCTCCCTATCCTCCGCAGCCGAATCTTGGTTGGCGGCGGAGCCATAGACCAGATCCGCCGCTGGGGTCGGGAAGGCTAGTACTTCTAAGTGCTCGTTTTTCCTGGCCCCATGGCCTTCGCGCATCGGACGCGGGGGCGTCTGTTGCACAGATGTAATTGGAGGCCGTGGAGGAAGGCGTGCCATGTGTTCTGGTGCGCCTTACTTGGGAAGGAGAACGGGGAAGGAATATTCCTCTCCCGATGAGGTGCTGCCATGGGGCTGCAGTCGCTGGTGGGGCCGCGGATGTGTGCGAAAGCGTTCCCGTAGCCCTGCCGATATGCGACGAAGGTGGAACACCATGGGGTTTTAGTCGGTGCGAGTCCGACATAACCCGTCCTTGCCCCCGCGAGGCGTGTATGCGTAGGCATTTCCCCATGTTAAAAAAAAAAAAAAAGGGTGACGTTATATCCCCGAAACTCTTCACCGCTGCGTTGGAAGACGTTTTCAAGCTACTGGACTGGAAAGGATACGGTATTAACTTCAATGGCGAGTACATCACTCACCTTCGATTTGCCGACGATATAGTCCTTATGGCAGAATCGCTGTCCTTAGCACTAAGCTCAATGACCTCAATGGTGTCCCCCAACGGATAGGTCTTAAGATGAACATGGACAAAACAAAGATCATGTTTAATGTCAATGTCACACCTATGCCGATAGTTGTTGGGAGCACTATGCTCGAAGTTGTTGATGAGTGCGTTTACCTGGGACACATAGTCCGACTAGGTAAGTCCAACTTCCACCGAGAGGTCAATCGACGGATTCAACTCGGCTGAGCAGCGTTCGGGAAATTACGACACATCTTTTCGTCAGGTATACCTCAATCTCTGAAAACTAAAGTGTACAACCAGTGCGTGTTGCCAGTGATGACTTACGGATCAGAGACGTGGTTCTTCACTGCTGGCCGTATGAGGACGCTCAAGGTCGCTCAGCGAGCTATGGAGAGGGCTATGCTCGGAGTTTCTCTGCGTGATAGACTCAGAAATGAGGATATCCGCAGTAAAACCAGAGTGACCGACATAGCCCAAGGGATTAGTAAGCTGAAGTGGCCATGGGCCGGCCATATAGCTCGAAGAACCGATAACCGATGGGGAAGAAAGGTTCTCGAGTGGCAGCTTCGTACCGGTAGGCATAGTGTAGGGCTACCCCCCGCTAGATGGAGTGACGACCTGGTAAGACATGCAGGAAGGTGATGGATGCAGGTGGCTCAGGATCGTGCTTTGTGGCGTTACTTGGGGGGGGGCCTATGTTCAGCAGTTGACTTGTGAAGGGCTGTAATGATGATGATAATGATGAACAACTAGTCGCAGGTTTGTTATCACACGGCGCGGTCACTCGCTACTTTGGTGGGGAGCGGTTGTGTCGGCGTGTATAAATAGCAGGTGTTTCGGCTCGCCGCTCACTTAGCGGTCAGTCGCTGTAGAGTCTACATCACCTGAGGATGCCTCGCGTAGAGGCGAAACACGTGTCTTATTGTCGTTGATGGTGTGTCTTACCTGGAATAGTGGTGTTGGAACTAGTGGTGATGGAGTTAGTGCATGCAATTGAGGGAGGGCGGGAGGTGCTTTTCAAAGTAGGTTAGACACATTGTTTTATGCTAGAAAATTAATTTAATATAAGTGATTTCCTCAAGGTAACGCCTGATTATATTAATTAACTTAAGTTTGTTTCATTTATTTTTTGGTTAGTAGCAACGAAAAACATGTTCTTTCTTTTCTTTGTGTGTTTGAAAAAATTGAATTTTCAATGAGGAGGAGGGCGGGAGGTGCTCTTCAATTCAGGTATGTATGACACATCATTGTATTTAGTTAGCGGAAGGTTGCGAAGTAATTCATTTTTTATTACAATGTCATATTGTTAATTAAGTTTTTAATAAAAGTTTATCATTATAATAATACACAAAACAATGCCTCTGTGGCTTGTTCTTTAATCGTTTGCACGTTTTTAACATTTTATTTTTCTATTTTTATGAATATCTGTGGTTTGGTTTATTTATTTTAATCTAATTAATACAAAATATAACTAATAGTACAGAAAGAGACATTGTCCTTTACATTTTTCGAACAAATGAACTTCCCCACTATGAAATCTGTCAAATATCGCACTTTATTTTAATATTATTCATTTTGAGGGATGCCGACCTGGTGGCAGAAAAAGTCGTGGATGGCCCTCATTAGCGACTTATGTTGCTCTTTATTGTTCTTTACAAAGAATAAGTTCACGCTAATAATTTTTGATGAAAAATGCAACACCATGCGTTGGTGAATACATTTTTCATGTACGCTAGGGATTGACAACTTAAGTTGCAATTATGCAGAGCTTGTTGGTTTAAGTGGAAAACTGGTAACTGAATCGTGTGGTGTGGTGGAGTTGAGTAGAAAGAGTGGAATAATTTATTATAAAATTATGATTCCAAAATCTATAAGCTACTGACCGACTGTAAACATTTTTCCTCACGGGTCATGGCTTGAAAATACAAATTTCTGATCCGTTTCTTGGGGAAAATTGTTTCATTTTATGGGAAAACACACCTCCCCAGAGATTATTGGGATTTTAAAATCCAACAAGGGGCGCTTATTCCTACTAACACGTTTCTTTTAAATAAATAAAATTACGTATTATTATTTATTTTGGAACTTATCTATATCGTAAAAAATTAGAGTAGTCATTTAGTTTCGTGTACTAAACTAATTTTGTTGAACCTTTTAGCGTTCCCTTAGCACTTCCAATTGCAGTATTGTGGTCGCACTGAATTATTTATCGAAAGTCTTTTTAGGTAAAATATACATCACTAAATAATGCACACAATGACAAATTATTTGTTACGCGTTTTCGGGCTGTGAGGTCGTTTGTAAGCCAGAATATTCTAAGTCTATGGCAAAGACGTAGATTATCTTTCTAGGATTAATACATACGACTTGGACAACACTTGTATCACTTTAAATGCTTAAAGGATGATTTTTACCAGAAAACCAATTAGCTAGTGAAGTGTGTGAAAGTGACAGTGAAAATGAACCCATCGCAAATAATGACCCCTTCCATTTGACTGTGTTTTTAAAAAATATTAAGTATTTCCTGCCTACCTACTAAAATACGTTAAATCCACAATAGAAAATCTATTAAAACTAAGATCACGAATGAAATGAAGACGTCTTAAAAGGCAAGTATTCATGCAAAAAATCTTTATAAAAAAAGATACAACTACAAATGACAATTAAAAATTTCGCGCGGTAACGCGGTTTTTGACATTGACGGCACCAGACCGATAAAATAACCTGTTGCTTGCTTTTACTTTTGTTTTTATTTTTACTTATGTTAGATTTGTTGTTATATTATCATATCATTTGTGAGATTTATAAAAAGAATCCGTAAACAACAATGGTATACAGCTTTCTTATATATAAATTATTTTATTATCTACAGATCTATAATTTTTCAAACCTAATTAGTGTATTTTTTTTTATACTTTCATATAGAGTTCCCCTATTCCTGATACACCGCCCGAAAGAGAAGGAGCTCGATCAAGAATGACTTCACCAGCTAGAGAATATGAAATGTTTGAAGATGAAAGTGCAATTCTTGGAGATAACGCGGCTGAAGAAGAAGAAGATGGAGAGGAGCTTTTTAACGATAATATGGAGGCGTAAGATAGAGAATCTCTTGTAATAAAGTAGTTTATACTATAACTGGTTTGGAGTTATTTACTAAGTTAAATTAGATCAAAGGGGGTATTAATGATGATGGAACATCAGGCCTAAGTTCATTCGAGGTTCCAAAGAAACTTGTTTTATTTATCAACCATATTACTTATTCTTTTAATAACTTTTATTTTGTTTTAATGACCATTTTTTGATTTGTCTGATAAATTATAATTTACCTTTTTTATGATATTTTTATGAACTCATTTTATTCTACATGTCATTTCATAAAAGTTAATCACTCTCCAGTGTAATACAGCATTTTGTTTTATCCCGCATGTAACAAGTATTTGTGTGGCTTACAAATAATTGTTCTGGGTCTGGATGTTCGTCCTTGTGCAATTTATGTTTGTAAACTGCCTCCATGGTACAAGAGAAGGTTAATATTTCCAATATGGACCATCGATTTCAAAGCCCATATTGTTATTTGTAGATAGTACTCACTAAAAGAAAGCGTTTTGCAAAGTTTTAGGTTGCGGAAACTTACGGTTCATGAGATAGATTTTTTTTTTTAACTTTTCATACAAATTGGCAAATAACACGCAATTACACCAATTACAAAATAAATTTGACAAATGATTGATGTCAAACGTCAATTAGTGTAGGGTTCCGAATATTTTGAAAGTATCGATACGTACTCCATACCAAGTATCGTATCAAAAGTATCAATACTACTTGGTATCGAGTACATTTCGTTAATTTTGGAGACTAGTGGGGCAAGAAGCCGGGAAGCTGTGCTCCGGCGCTCCGTGCTTCTTCTTGATCTCGGTGCCTGTGCTTCCTTTCCTAGGGCGGAGGCACTGCTCATCCCGCAGCGCCGGAGCTGCCACGGAGCGCCGGAGTTCCCGGCTTCTTACCCCCTAGTCTCCAAAATTAACGAAATGTACTCGATACCAAGTAGTATTGATACTTTTGATACGATACTTGGTATGGAGTACGTATTGATACTTTCAAAATATTCGGAACCCTACACTAATTGACGTTTGACATCAATCATTTGTCAAATTTATTTTGTAATTGGTGTAATTGCGTGTTATTTGCCAATTTGTATGAAAAGTTTAAATAAATCTATCTCATGAACCGTAAGTTTCCGCAACGTAAAACTTTGCAAAACGCTTTCTTTTAGTGAGTACTATCTACAAATAACAATATGGGCTTTGAAATCGATGGTCCATATTGGAAATATTAGCCCAAAGAAATTCCTAGTGTGGGGGTAACGTTTTTAAATAAAAAAATTTACCCTTTTATTAAAATGTATAATAATATTTATATCATTACAATGATATTGTTTCCTTACAATATTTTACCCGAGATTGATTTGTAGCATTATATTTTGGGTAATTTTTTTTAATGATAATGATTGTTTGTTAGTCTTAAACTTTATACTAATTTTAGATTGTGTTGGTTTTACTATTCTGACATTTTATATAGAATAAGACAGACTGACTGACTGAGACTGAGCCGTGGTAGCTCAGATGGTTAACGCTCGCTGTAAATATAACAGAACGCGAGTAACCCGGGTTCGATCCCCACCGGCACCAATGAAATTGTTAATTGCAATTTTAAGTGCTGATTTACCACGTGCTCGGCGGTGAAGGAAAACATCGTGAGGAAACCTGCATGTCTGAGGAATAAGAAAAAAAATTATTTCGAAGACATGTGAAGTTTGCCAACACGCATTGGGGCAGCGCGGCGGACATTTCCTTGCCCTAAAACCCTCTCAGAAATGAGGGGAGGCCTGAGCCCAGCAGTGGGACGTATATAGGCTGTAACTTTAAGGCAGACTAACGAGCACACAGTTAACTAATGATAATTGCATGCTGTGGCCTATTCACGCCTACATCTATTTGGTTAAGTATCAAACTATAGATGCATTGTTTTATTTTGTTGCCCTTAAAATACAATAACAGTTTTCCGCTAAAAGAAGCATTAAACAGTAGTTAATAAGTTCTAAATTTCTGCAAAGGTTAATGCATACATTAAATCAATAGTGACTACAAAGTTGTGTCATGAACTTAATGCGCTCACCACCCTGTGTAAGTGGATCATTAACAGATTTAGGAACATTGAATAATGAGTTTAGTATGGAGCACTAAAATACCCAGAGAAAATGTAAGCAACCAGAGCATAATTGCAACTGCAACTGTGCATAAGAACTTCAAGATTTCCACAAAGATGTTACGTCAATGTTACAAAAATTCACAAACACCCAGGAAACTACAATGAACTTCATTCGTGACAATATTACAGAAATGAAAACACAGATGAACAACATTAAAGTGGCTAACGACACTCTGAATAAAGAGCAGATGTTAATGAAGACCCAAATATCAGAAATGACTACAAAGGCAACAACGGTGGAAAATAAAATTCAATCTCTTGAGGCAGAAATTGTTACTTTAAAAAATAATATGGCATTCAGTAAGATGATGTCAATTTCTGATAAAAATGTTATCCAAGAATTGCAAGAAAGGATTACTAGGGAAAAAAATATAATAGTGGTAGGCATATGTGAATGCAAAACAACAAAAATTGATGAAGGCCACGCTTATGACTTTAGTGAAGTCTCGAAAACCATAAACAGCTTGATACAAGAGTGCCCGAAACCCTCTTGAGTATTTCATCTTGGTAAATATCAACCTACAAAGGATCGCAACATTAAAGTATGCTTTGAATCTGCACAAACTGCAAAAATGCTGCTTTGTAATAGAGATAAACTGCTTTGTAATAGAGATAAACTTCAACTTGGCATTATGATCTATTCAGATCAAACACCGGCCCAACATACTTATATGAAAAATCTTAAGAGTTAGTACAGAGAAAAGCAAATGGAGAAAAAGACATTACAATAAAATATATAAAAGGATTGCCAAAAATAGTTTTAAACAAAGACCCAAAAAACTAAGTTTTCCATCGCTACTTAACACCAAACATCCTTTCATAAATGATCAAGAGAATATAACTTACCAAGTACTTAATAATTATCAGAATATATCTTCAAATAAGTCTATTCTATGCTAACATCAGAAGCATCTGCAGGTCAGGTAAATTTGACGAACTTAAGTGTCTCCTGTACTCTATCAAAAAATGTATATATGTTGTACTACTGACTGAAACATGGATAAAATCTGAAGAACAAGCTCAACAATTTCATATACAAAATTATTCACACTACTATACCATCAGGCCTGGTAAAGTCGGTGGGGGTGTATCGATATATGTCCATGATGATTTGAAACATAAGCTGTCAACAGCATCCTATACTGGAGGTAACAATACTCTCCAAAATTCTTGAAAAAATTGTTTACATGAGATTGGACGACTACCTTACTAAAATTAACTTTTTATATAACCAACAATATGGCTTTCGACCCAAATCTAACACCCTTGCCGCAACTATAGATTTAATAACCACTATCAAAACCAAAATTGATCAAAAACAGTTTGCTTTAGGTGTTTTTGTTGATTTAAAAAAGGCTTTTGATGCGGTCAGCCATTCCATACTACTAAAAAAATTGGAACGTATTGGCATTACTGGAAATGTATACAAAATGCAAAAGTCTTATTTGGATGATCGATATCAGATTGTAAAAATTTGAGACTACCAGAGTAGTCGCAAGCCTCTAACATGTGGCATAACACAAGGCTCAATTCTTGGCCCATTGCTGTTTCTGATCTACGTAGACAACATTCAGCAAGCGGGACTACAGGGTCGCCTTGCTCTCTAAGCAGATGATACAAGCTTATTTTATTTCGGGAGCAATGTCAAAGAAATAACGATGCGCGCAGAGGATCTAAACATACTTCACTGTTGGCTCCAATACAATCTATTAACAATTAATACTTCTAAAACTTCATACATAATATTTAGTTCCAAAAATAGAAAAATACCTGATCGACCTAAACTTAGCATTAACTGTGAGATATTACAAGTTAACCAAGAAAAATACCTATTTTAATTATGATATTGGTGTAGTAAATTATGACATTTTGAATTATATAACTTACATTTAATAACTTGACATTTTAGAATCGACTACCACCTATTGCATGTTGCTTATTTTTATTGTAAAAAATCTATCACTTACCCTATTTATGGCAATTAAATAAATTTGAATTTGAAAAAATTTGAATAAGTAAGAAAAATACGTTGGTAAAGCCTCACTTACTGTATCAAATCGAAATATGGGGTACTGCTGCTAAAAGTAATTTAAAACCAATACAAATATTACAAAATAAAATAATTAAAATCTTACACAACTATGATTTCTTAGCACCATCGAAAACAATTTACAAAAACACAAAAATTTTAAATATTGAACAACTTTTTACGTATAATACATGTCTACTTATCTAGATTAGATAACTCACAAGCTTATTCACTCACACATAACATTCACAACAAAAAATCAAATAAACAAGTATATGACCCGCTGAGCCAGCAATTTTGTGTTACCTGCCGTAAGAACAAACTATGGAAAAAATAACATAACATTTGGGGGAGCACAGTTATACAATCAACTTCCAAAACATGTGAAAGCGACTTCAATCAATATTTTTAAAAGAAGATTATTTGAATATATTTATAATGATGAAACTATGCATTAAAATTATACTTGGACCACCTTATAGTTGATAGGAACACAATGAACTTGGTTAACGATCGACCGATGTAATTTTTATTTATTTTTTTACTACCCACACACACTAGAGTTGTCTTAATGAGAAATAAAGTTCTTTAAACCGAAATATCTAGGCTTCTGTGAAGGAAGATGTGTAGACCATACTGCTATTAAAAAGGACCTTAGTAATGAATATTTACGCAGGTTGAATCTAGTTTGTAAAAAGCAACTTAATTCTAGAAATTCATTCAAAGCTATTAAAACTTGCCATCCCAATACTTACCTATTCTTTCGGAGTCATTAGATGGTCAGCCACAGATATACGAAATCTTGAAATCAAAACTAGGACTACCATAACTAAACACAAATATTTTCATCCTAAATTGGCAATTGAACGTCTTACGATAAAGAGAGCTATGGGGGGTAGGAGTCTGATCGATCTTAAAAGGTTATGGGAAGGGCAAATCAAAAACCTGCAATCTTTCTTTTATGAAAAATCAGCCAATAGTCCGTTACATCAAGTAATCATTGAATCCGATAACAATTATACCTCTAAATTTAAGTAATCTAGGTAATAGATCTACTACAGTAATTGATCACGAAAAAGGAAAGCTATTAAAGTGGAGTAGTAAAGAATTATATGGTAGACATGCACACAATTTAGAATAACCTCACATAGACTTGCTGGCTTCAAATAAATGGTTAAAAGTAGGTTCTTTTTCCCCCAAACCGAAGGTTTTCTTATTGCTATTCAGGACCAAGTAATTAATACAAGAAACTATAAAAATATATATTAAAAGACCCAAACATGCAGAACGATAGCTGTAGAAAATGCCACCGCCAACCCAAAACTATACAACTAATATGTTGTATAGTTTCGGGTTGGCGATGCTTGTCCCAACCTAGTACAAACTGATTACACCCACCGTCATAACCAGGTTGCTAATTACGTTCATCAAAAACTTTCAAATAAATACAATTTAATCCTGAACCAAAAACTACTTCCGTACTATCAGTATACCCCTAAACCTGTTCTGGAGAGCAACAGTCACAGAATGTACTTTGATAGAGCTATTCTTACCGATAAAAGAATTCATTACAATAGACCGGATATAACTTTTATTGATAAATTAAATAAAACAGCCACAACATAAATACCTTATTGATATAGCAATCCCAAATACCCGTAATCTACAAAAAACCATTACGGAAAAATATCATAAATACACAGAATTAAGAGCAGAAATATCAAGAATCTGGAAAATGAACAAAGTCTATATTGTACCGCTGTTGCTGACCCCGAAATGTTTGTCCCACTCCCTTAAACGATTAGATCTTCCTGAAAATAGTAATATTATCATGCAAAAAGCAGCCATCCTCAACATGTGCCATATAGTCCAAAAATTTTTGCAAGAAGACACCTCAGATTTTGATACCCAAATGGATGCGCACTTGGCTTAGGCTCGTGAACAACTCTTATAAACCAAGATTTTACTAAATCTTGAGAAAGGAAAAAAAATATTAATAATCACTCCATACTGACACCCCATTAGTATCTACATCGCACCGGTGCAAAGCCAGGCAGGATTGCTAGTCTATTAGTATTCATTTAAATCTCTTAATAATTACGTTTAGTGTCAGTACCATCAGTGCATGTTGCCAGTGATGACTTATGAATCTGAGACATGGCCCTTCACTGCTGTCTGCTTGCGGATGCTCAAGGTTGCCCAGCGAGCTATGGAGAGGGCTATGCTCGGGGTTCCTTTGCATGATAAACTTAGAAATGAGGATATCTGCAGTAGAACCGGAGTAACCGACATAGCCCAATGGATTAGTAAGCTGAAGTGGTAATTGGCTGGCCATATAGCTCGAAGAACCGACAACTGAGGGGGAAAAAAGTTCTCAAGTGGCAACCTCGTACCGGTAGACGTAGTGTAGGGCGACCCCCCACTAGATGGTGTAACGACCTGGAGAGACGTGCAGGAAGTCTATGGATGCAGGTAGAGCTCAGAACCATGCTTTGAGGTATTCCTTGGGGGAGACCTACGTTCAGCAGTTGACTTGTAAAGGGCTCAATGATGATGATGATGATGATGATTAAACATTTAAATCAAAAGATCAGATTGGGCTGTAATGAGTATCAGTACCATCAGTAGTAGTATCAGTAACAGCTGTGTGCCTCAGAAAGCATATAAAACTGTTGATCCTGCACCTAATCTCTCTACAGGCGTGTCATGTGGTGGCAATCTCTGCTGTCACATTGGACTATGAGAATGAAGGAATAGGGGTTGTGCCTGCACACACTCTGCACTATTGTCTTGCTTGTGCAGGTGGCTAATCTCCATTGAGACTAGCCACTGTGAAATTCGGTTATAAAGCGCTGTCTGTTTTTGGGGAGCTGCGACATAAATCCTATTTCTTGTACTATTACTGCAAACCCTACAAACTGGTGGTGGTTATGACAAATTCTCTTTCTTTTTTCTTTTGTGGCGGTTAGGTAAAATTTGCCTATGACATATTGAATGGAAAATGAAAGCTGATGAGTTTAATCAAAAAAAAATCTGAGATAATAGAAGGATTTAGTTTTCCTCCTAGAATTTTGACAAATCTATCTATGGAAATACCTAGAACAAATCACACATACACAGATGTTAGAATCTCTCTCTAATCTTGTCTTTTTTAATATGTTAATAATAATAATGTTTTTTAAAAATAATGTTAATAATGTTTTTTTATTATGTTAAGAAATCTTTGTATCTTTTAATATGTTAAAAGAGACAAAGATTTATAGTTTTATGTTATTAGTATAAATAAAATCACACAATTATACACAAAAGAAGCATTTGTATATGTTAATAGTTAGTATAGGAATATAAGATGAAAGGTAATCATAGAGGGAGCAGGATAGTTTTGGACCATGGAAAAATATGGTTTGTGGAAACTTTTTATAGCAGAAGAACTTCTTGTCAGCTTAATGTGTCATGTGTATATTCATATTAAGTAAAAGCCTGAATATAGGCCTCTTTTAGAAAATTGTCATGGTTGGATAGATGCAAATTTTTTAAATTGCAATTGTTAAGTTCTTACTTGTGATTATTACATGATTTCATGAAACAATCTTGCAGATCACCTGATGGTAAATGGCAACCCATTGACACTTGCAACCGATAATCAAAGAAATAAGTTTCTTCATACAATACAGGTGACAAGCAAACTTACAGTCCACTTGATGGTAAGTGGCAGCTCGTGGACACCTGCAACCGACAAACTAAGAAGTACAGATGTGTTGTCACCTCTGAGGGCTAAGATGGAGTGCCTCACGCATCCACATAATGTTATATCTATGAAAAATTAAAGATTATATTTCGCCATAGGGACTATCGTCCTATGCCAGCTTTAGACCGATACGACAATGAGGACTTGGATGACGAAGATTATGATGCCATGTCTATTGAAGATCGTGTGGCTGCTGAACAGGAATTGCGGAGGCGTGACAGAGAAGAAGGCAGAGTGAGAAGGGATGATCGTGGATTGCTTTATGGTTAGTTACTAACACTTTCAATAATGCTAAATATCCTTAAACTAGAATAAATGCGTTTCTTTCTTTATTTATACTCTTTATTGCACACATATTATAATGCCTGCCTCATTGGTTTAGTGGCTGTAGTAGTGCGACTGCTGATCATGACGTCCTGGGTTAGAATCCCGGGTCGGGGCAAAAAATCAATTGTTGAGTTTTTCCGTCAAGAAATTCTCAATAGCTGCGTGAAGTCAGGAAGTTGGTAGTGTCTCACTCCCATGCCTCGAAGATTACGGAAAGCCGTTACGTGGTCCTGCACCTGATCTTCTCTCTGGTCGTGTCGGTTTACTGTCTCATCAGATTATGAGAATAAGGGAATAGAGAGTGCACCTGTGCTTGCTAATACACTTGGGCACTATAATCCCGTACTGCGCCTATGAGTAATCTCCGTTGAGGCGGTACGCCGTGACCGATCGGTCTGGAGGACATTATTATTATTGGGGGGTATCAATATAGTTTTCTCATCTGGTTGGGTTCTATAAATATATAATTATAAATGGAAATGAAAAGATAAATATACATAAATATCAATAAAATTAAATAAATATAAAAATACATAAATAAATAAAAACCCAACCAGATGGAGGCCCTCGGCAGGGGAGACCAAACGGCCGAGGGTTAGGGGGAAAGGGAAAGAAACCGGCGGACGATGCGGGCGGTATCGAGGAGCACCGCCTTCTGCATTTGAGCCAGGAGTGGTCCGCCACGTAGTCCCAGCCGCCTCAGATGACCCGAGAGGCTGACTGGGATTAGCCCGTTTGCAGAGACGACTACAGGAATAATTTCGGTCGGTAGACCACCCCACATGTCGGTCAACTTGTGAGCCAGGTCCAGATATTTTGTTCGTTTATCTGTTTCGGCTTTCACGAGATTTTCGTCATACGGAATGGTAATGTCGACCAAAAATATCCTTGACTGTGCCCGGTCCATCAGCGCAATATCAGGCTTATTCGCAAGAATAGTCCTGTCTGTGATGATGGCCCGGTCCCAATAGAGCCTGGCGCGATCATTTTCGAGCACGGCTTCCGGCAAGTATTTGTAATACGGCAATTTCCGATCCACGAGACCGTATTTCAGAGCAAGCTCCTGGTGAAGAATTCTGGCTACTAGGTTGTGTCTGTGCAAGTACTCAGAGTTAGAAAGCGCCGAACAACTGGAGATGACATGCCTAAGTGACTCACCGGGATAGCGACAAGCTCGCCAGATGTCGACGGTGCCATCCTTTAGGATGTATCTCCGATAGTTGTTGGTCTTAATAACCTGATCTTGTATTGCACAGACAAAACCCTCGGTTTCCCCCGAAGAGGTCACCAAAGCGTAGCCAGTGGAGGGAGGCTACTGCGTCTACGAAAGGCTCACGTAGAGCCTTGTAGAACTTCCCTTGGAGCTCCTTTTCCTTCCATACGGTCTTCCGGTCGGAAATGCTCTGCACTGCCGGGTCTTGCCATTGCTCGTTGGCTAAGGATAGAGGGGTAAGTCCTTTATCACAAGAAATGACGTCCTTATAGAATGGATCATCCGATCTCGCCAGGAAGTAATCACGGAGGCTGCACACTTCGCGATTATGCATGGTGAGCGCGCTCAGGAAGCCTCGCCCACCATGCTTTCGCGGCAAGTACAGCCTCATTACCGACGATCTCGGATGATGCAACCTATGGGACGTCATGGTAGTGCGGACTTTTCTATCCAGGGCGTTAAGCTCAGTCTGTGTCCACCTGAGTATACCAAAGCTATACATGAGGACAGGCATGACCCAGCCGTTATATGCGTGTGCCTTATTCACACCGGACAAAAGGCTGTTAAGCACTGTGGTGAAGCGTGCATAAAACATGTCGCAAACTGACTGGTTCATACCAGCCTCATCGATACCGATGTTCTGTGACATATCCAGGTATCGGTATGTTTCAGCCTCGGAAAGGGTTCTTAAGTTGACGGGCATAGATAAGTCTATGCCCTCAGAGTTAGTGACCCTTCCCCTTTCAACATGGAGGACCGCACACTTATCCGTCCCCAGCTCCATTCCAATGGAATTGCTAAATTCACAAGTGATGTTTAGCAATTCCATAAGATGGGAGCGACTGGAGGGGGAATAACTTGAGGTCATCCATATAGAAAAGGTGGGTCACTTTTGTCCCTCCTTTCCGTAGCTGAAATCCCCTCCCGGAGCCCTCCAGTAAGGTACTGAAAGGGTTCAGAGAGAGGCAGAACCAGATTGGACTCAGACAATCGCCCTTGGAAGATACCCCTTCTTATCCTTATGTGGTTCTCCGCAGCCATCATCCGCTCGCCCAGATGACAAAGGATCGTACTCCACTGCCCCATACACTGCTCGAGGAAGTCTCTAACTGTACAGTCTATCTTGTACAGCTCGAGGACTCTCTTTAGCCATGTATGGGGCACCGAGTTGAATGCCTTTCTGTAGTCTATCCAGGCGGCGGAGAAGTTCCGATGGTTGCGTTTCACCACTTTGCCAATGACCGCGTCAATGAGGAGTGGTTCCTTGGTTCCACGACCACCGCCCCGACATCCATTTTGAGCGCGCGACCTCGAGCGATCACCTGATTTGAGTCCAGGTGACGAGTGATTCTCGCGCTCAAAATGGATGTTAGTGTCTTATATATGGTCGGTAGACACGTGATGGGGCGGTATTTGCTCGGGTCTGTGGTACCCTGGTCTTTAGGAACCAAATGGGTGATCCCAGTAGTGAAGAGGCTCGGGAGCGACTTCTGGTTGAGAGCCTCTTGAAACTGTCGGGCGAGCACAGTGTGACACACCACGAACCCCTTCAGCCAGTAGTGATGCAGCCCGTCGAGTCCCGGACTTTTCCAGTTCGGGGCCCTACGGACCGCCTCAGCTACGTCATCCGGTGTTATATTGACGGGGTCCATGGGCGTTATACTCGCACACTGACTCGCCACAACTTCCGTCCAAGGGCCCTCGCTGTGGTTTACGGGCTCTGACCACAGGCCGCGCCAGAATGCTATAGTGTCGGCCTGATTCGGTGCTGGGCCCGTTCCACTTACCATTGGTCGCTCCAATGATTCATAGAGTCTCTTCTGATCACTCTGGAAGAGACGATTCTGGTTGAACCGTGTCGACCTCTCGGTATATCGCCGAATCCGCTTTCACCAAGCAGCGATTCTCTGCTTCAGATCATCTATGCGCTCCGTCAGATTTTGCGTTACATCCGGTTGGGACAAACTGACATTTGTCCCAGCAAACGCCATCCTGACGGTGCGCACAATACTTGGCCTATTATTGCCTGATCTGAAGCATCAGTCTGCCGATGAGAGCTCTAGCCTTTGCGATACGTTCTTCAATTATTCTTTTCCATGCTGGGATAGCGTTACTTTGGCCAGTAGCGCGTCCAGCCGTGGAAACCTTGGCGCCTATGATACGGCAGACTGCCAGCGCGGCGCCAAAAAGTATTGAGTCCGTCTCGCAAAGGTCCCGGCTGGCTTCCAAATAGGTTCACCAGCATTGGGTTCAGAGCCCTCACGACAGCCCGATTCCGCTTGCTTAGGGCTATGCGGGGAAGTCGCGGTCGATTTTCGAGAGGCGTACTGCGCGTTTTCACAACCGCCTCGCCCAATGTACTCCTCATATGCTCTAATTCTAGTTCCTGGGCGACTGTTCCATCATCGTTTGAATCAACCACAACTGGGGTATTCACGGCGGCATCCACGTTTGCGGGTTGCTCTACAATTTGTGGCGCCGCAACCTCAGCCGTAGCATTTTCATCCGATGAGGGAACACGCCTAACGTTAGCCGTTCTAGTTCGGCGACATCAAATATATTTGAGCGCAAGATATACCGAACTCGGTCTACCAGGTTTTGCTCTGTGACGGTTAAAGATGGCTCCAGCTCAGCAAAAAGACGATGCATCCTAGCCCGATACGCCAAACATCCAGTTTCTTCCCCTTTTGCCCTAAAGTACGCCCGCAGTGCGTTTGCGTTCATTGTTTGTGACCAACGCATGCGACGTGCTCCACCAGCGGCGGGTGCCGCTTGCTGAGTCCGAGAAGACCCAGCCGACACCAAGCCTTCTGGTGGGGATGATGGATGCGGAGGGCTGCTAGGTGACCGTGCAGCTCCTCGCGCTCGGCTTGCGGCCCGCATGCTGCCGCGTCCAGCGCCAGCTCCAGGCAGCGGCCCTATGCGCGTTCCTCTCTGTGCCATCATCCATTTTATGGGCGCCAAATAACGGGAGACGCCCAAGCCCGGGACCGTTTCGTGGTTAGGTCATATGCACAAACGGACCTTTGTACCCACAATTTTGCCTAGGCACGGCGCTCGCACCTCTTGGCAGGGTGCTGACTGACTGCGCCGACGTAGCAGTTTTGTCACATAACTGTTACCTCAGCGGGCGATGGTGTCGTCACTTCCCTACGCCTTAACAACATTATTATTATTATTATAATAATAAGACATGCTAAACTTAAGTTCATAATATATACAGTTAGGTGGCTTTATTGCTAGACAGCGATCTCCATTCCATGCAAACCTTGGTGATGGAGATAATTTTCATTTAAACATTTATAGGGGTGCACATAAATATTAAATAATGAAGTATATATTATTACATATAAGTATAATTTTTTTTATAGGATAGGGTGACAAACAAGCACACAGTCCACCTGATGGTAAGTGGTTGCTGTGGCCCATAGACATCTACATCTATCCTCGATTACGAACCAAAATGCAGATGCGTTGTCACCCGACAGGACTAAGATGAAATGCCTCGTTTCCAGTAAAATGGGTCTCTGGTTCTCTACACTCACCATACCAAACGGAGCAGCATTAAGCTACTATTTTACACTGGTATTCTGTGAATGTGGTCCTGCCCTAGTCGAGCCGACCCATTTGTGCTACAACTATATTACTAATATAGCTACAGCATGGCTCTACCACATATAAATATATAAGTGCATAATATATATATATATATATATATATATATATATATATATATATTTTATATTGTGCTACAAAATACACCAGCAGAGTTTGCAGGCAAACTCATTTCTCATACTGTGTGCAATCTTTCCAGATGAATCAGATGAAGAGAGTGCAGATGCACCTCGTGCTAAACGACGTCGGGCCGCCGAGAAAGCTGCGGCTGGTTCGGACGAGCAGGTTGAGGAAGGCATTGAAAGTATAGAGAACCTAGAGGACACCAAGGGATATACCACTAAAGAATGGGTCTCCATGTTAGGTCCTCGCACTGAGATTGCTAATAGGTCAGTCAATATTTATTGGGTTAACAATAATATAATTTTATTTTAAAACTCTAAAAAGGATATGACGATGGAAACAGGGTGGCTCAGAACCATGCTTTGTGGCATTCATTTGTTGGCAATTATCACGAAAGTGTGTTGCATGTAAAAGGATTATATATATATATCATACTTCCATACTAATATTATAAATGCGAAAGTGTGTTTGTTTGTTTGTTCGTTTGTCCTTTCACGTCGCCTTTCACACGCAATAGAGCTTCGCCATGGCATGATTTTTTGTATGGGGATTGTTCGGTGGTTGTAGAGTGACATAGGCTACTTTTTTCAGCGGAAAAACATATCATTCCCTTGAGAAAATTGAATATGTTGCAAAAGTTTGTCCTTCTTTCACGTCGCAACAGACCGTCGGCATGGCATGGATTTTGGTATGGGGATTGTTCGGTGGTTGTAGAGTGACATAGGCTACTTTTTTCAGCGGAAAAACATATCATTCCCTTGAGAAAATTGAATATGTTGCAAAATTAAATTCAGCTAGGTGGCGCCACCGTAATTCTAAAAGACGGACGACGGTACGATGGACGAACACAGAAGGTCAAATATCTGGATGATTGTGTCTTTTTACCAAAATTAAGATAAAAAATGTATGGATCTGTATTTTTCCACGCAGGACCGGGAAGAGAGTGATAAAAAACATAAAATTCACCAGCTGATTTTCTTCAAAAGTTTTGGTGCATTGTAATTCACAGAATAGGCGATAACCTCGCAGACGATATTAAGTAATCCGTTGATGCTCTGCCTACCCCGCAAGGGTTACAGGCGTGACTATAAGTATGGATCAGAAATGCTATCACCACCTGTCACGCTTTCACCCTTAACTATTACTTAACTGTGGTAGAAACAGTTCTTAGTAAGCCTCATTAATAAGCCTTAGTAATATTTATTGAACGGAAATGAATACAGTTCTTATATGTGGTTATGAATGAATCGGTATTACAATAAGAAAAATTGTGCAAAATTATAAGAAAAATATTTTTTGAGAGTTCTTATTAACTAACGTATATATATACAACATAGTTTAAATTGATTCCGCTAGATGTCGTTACTAGGTTTTTAAAACGCAGTAACGAAATGTTTCCTGACATGTACTTAACTCCCGCCGTTGAGCCGCGCGTCAACTTATAGTGCATACGGTACCTATACGCTTAAATTGTTTTTATTTCGTAGTTTATTCGACTACCTGCTTTCGATTTCGGTTGTTTGTTATTTACTTTGTGATTTGGTTAAGGTTGAATGAATTTATATTGGCTTTCATTTTCGGATTTGTGTATTTTCTTAGATCGGTTTTGTTGATTTGGTTGGTATTCCTTTATACATATTTAGACTCTGGCTTTGATTTTGGATTTTGTTTATTTAGAATCGTGAATTGGTTTTCGTTGTTTTAGGTTGTTTAACAATATTTCAAAGGAATATTAATAGTATAAATAGTGTATACCGTACCTATACAATTACTTCTTTTTTCATTGGTTATATTTATATTGAGTACTGCTTTCGATTTCGGTTTTCTGCGATTTGTTTTGTGATTTGGTTTAAGTTGATTCGATTTTTTTTTTGGCTATCGTTTTCGGATTCGTGTTGTGTCTTGAATTGGTTTTGTTGTTTTGATTTTAAAAAATATTTAAAAGGAATATTTATTCCTTTTAGATATTTTGAATTTGCTTTTAAAAAAAATATTTAAAAGGAAATTTAATTCCTTTTAGGTATTTTAACGTTTTTTTATAAATAAGTTTTTTGTTACTTCATAATTCCTCGCAAACTTAAGTCCAGCCTTTCAAGAGTATCTTCTCAAAGACAAGCAAAAAGATTAGCTCGATCGCTCGAATCTTTAGAGGATGCTGAACTGAGAAGGCAAGAACAAGCAGAGCGTCAGGCTGCTTTTAGAGCATCTGAGACACCTTCTCAACGTCAGCAAAGGCGTCTTGAACAGACAGAGCGTCAGGCTGCTTTAAGAGCTTTCGAAACACCTTCTCAAAGTCAGGAAAGGCGTCTTGAACAGGAAGAGCGTCAAGCTCCTTTAAGAGCTTCTGAAACACCTTCTCAAAGTCAGCGAAGGCGTCTTGAACAGGCAGAGCGTCAATCTACTTTAAGAGCTACTGAAACACCTGCTCAAAGTCAGCAAAGGCTATTCGAACAAGTGGAACGTCAGGCCGCCTTAAGAGTCGCGGAAACACCTGATGAAACTCAACACAGACTCATTGAGCAAGCTGAACGTCAATCTACTATAAGGGCATCTGAAACACCAGAACAGACACAGGCGCGAAGAGATGGCAAATGCACAGCTTCAAGCAGAACGTCGACAAAATTTTCAAAGAAACAATTGGTCGGTTTTTAATGGCGCAGCATGCAATTATGATCAGTTGATTGATTATAAAAATCACAGGTTAGTTGTTATCGGACTGATGGACAAGGCGTGTCGATTTTGCAGCGCTTTAAAATGAAAAGATGAGACCGCAGGCATGTGCTGGTCCAGTGGCAAAATGTCTCTTCCGTTACTTGGGGAACCAGAAGAACCTTTGAAAACTCTCTTTTTATATGATGCTAATGAGTCAGGGCGCTTTTTAAACAGGATCCGGAAATATAACTCATGCTTTCAAATGACGTCCTTCGGAGTTGACCGGGAAATAATAATGCCGGGATTTTCGCCTACATTTACGGTGCAAGGGCAAATTTATCATAGAATAGGTTCACTTTTTCCAGCTGAAAACGAACAGCATAAATTTTTACAAGTATATTTTATGGGTGACGAAGAAATTGAGGTAGACCGTCGCTGCCAATTTATCCAGGGAGTTGAGAGAGACACAGTGTTCAAAATTCAAAGATTCTTGCATGAACGTAACATTTTAGTCAAAACATTACAACAACTGCTTTAGAAAACCTAACTGAAGAGGATTATAAAGTCGTCATTCACGCAGATCGGACCCCTCGAGGAAAGCATGAAAGGCGCTACAATGCACCTTTGATAAACGAAATAGCAGCCGTAATTATTGCGAGCACGTGATGATACATTGCAACGGGTAGCCGATACACACAAGTTTTATGACGCTCTGCAATACCCATTTATTTATTGCAAAGGACAAAAGGGTTATCATTTTCAAATTCCACTCATTAACCCGGTCACCAAGGAGCCTTCTTCGAACAAAAAAGTATCGTGTATGGATTTTTATGTGTATCATATGATGTTGCGAGAAAATGATTTTAACCTCATAGCCCGGTGTAGACAATTATTTCATCAATTTTTGGTAGACATGTATGTGAAGGTAGAAGGTGAACGTCTCCGTTATATATTTTTAAATCCAAAAAAGCTGCGCGTTGAGAATTATATACATTTACAAGATGCAGTTTCTAGCGACGCCAATGTAAACCCCAGAGATTTAGGTAAAATGGTAATTCTGCCCTCATCATCCATTAACAGTCCCCGCTACCTACATGAGTACCCCAAGACGCATTCGCCTATGTACGAACTTACGGAAGACCTGATCTTTTTGTTACTTTTACTTGCAATCCCACATGGAACGAAATAACCGAGGAGCTAATGCGAGGCCAAAAAAGTACTGACAGACACGATTTTGTTGCTAGAGTATTTAGATTAAAAGTACAAAAATTAATGTATGTAATTAACAAAGGGAAAATTTTCGGAGAGGTGCAGTGCTTCTTGTATTCAATTGAATGGCAAAAAAAGAGGATTACCGCATGCCCACATTCTAATACGGCTTAAAGAGAAGTTGCGGCCCAGCCAAATAGACGACTTAATAAGCGCCGAGATTCCGGATCCCGAGCAAGATAAAGAATTGTATGATACCATTGTCCGAAATATGATTCACGGTCCATGTGGAGCACGAAATTCGATATCGCCATGTATGAAAGAAGGAAAATGTACAAAGAAATTCCCTAAACAACTATTAAAAGAAACAGTGCACAATGACAATGGCTACCCTTTATACAGACGCGGAGCTCCCGAAGAAAAGTTACAATCAAATCTCGCTCTGGAGCGTTCGAAACCTTAGATAACAGCTGGATTGTCCCGTATTCGCCCATTCTATGTAAAATGTTTAATGCCCACATTAATGTAGAAGCATATAGCTCCGTCCGCGCAATCAAGTATATCTGTAAGTACATAAATAAAGGAAGCGACCAAGCAATATTTAATCTCAGGAGTGAAGGTGAGGCAAATCCCGTTAATGAAGTACAGACCTTTCAAGCAGGGCGTTATGTCAGCAGTAACGAGGCAGCGTGGCGTCTCCTTGGCTTCCCTTTACACGAAAGGCACCCAACAGTTACTCACCTTGCTGTGCACTTAGAAAATGGAGAGCGTGTATATTTCACCGAAAGAAATTTCCAAGAAAGAATTGCATCACCGCCAAAAATTACACTAACAGCCTTCTTTCAACTTTGTCAAACCGACCCCTTTGCAAAAACGTTGTTATATTCTGAAGTCCCCCGCTATTATACTTGGAACACATCTAGGAAGGAGTGGAAACTCCGTATTCAAGGCGCGCCTGTTGCAAATTGGCCCAGTGTAAAGTCATCAGATGCCCTTGGTCGTGTGTATACCGTCCATGTAACTAATTTTGAATGTTTCTGTTTACTATTGCTGCTGCACCATGTTCGGGATCCTACAGGATATAAAGACCTTAAAACTTGTCGGGGGTGTTTGAAGGGGTGGGGTTTTTTTTATGGTTTTTGGGGCCACAAATGTCAACGATTAGGAATGCGCAACTTATAGAGAAGCATGTGAAGCTTCTTTTAGAAAACGATAATCACTAACATGGAGGAAGCTGTGCAGTGCCAGTCACCAGCCATAATTAGGGATCTTTAGGCAACTCTCATATCATCTTGCGGGCTATCTAATGCACATGAATTGTGGGACAAATATAAAGAGTACATGGCGGAAGATATTTTGCGAAGGTTACAGCAGACACACGCGAACATGACATACAATGAACACA